TGATTCCCTTTGCAGTCTAGACGACAAAAACACTCGCTAGATGCGCTGATTCCTGAATCACATCGGGGTCACCACTTGTAGTGGCCGCTTCTCGCTCCGGAGCTCAGGAATAATTACTTTGAAACACATAGTGTTTACAGAGAAGAGGAAAAGGCAAAGTCTGGAAGAGAAAATGTCCTCCTCAGCTAATTTCCTCCCCTTACTTATTTCCAAGGACACGTGCAAAGGGTCAGGGCCGTGTGCTAATTTCTTTAACAACTTCCATACAGGTCAGCTGTTTTCAGCTGACCTTTGCACACAGCAAACAAGCAGCTTCGGGCAGACGTTTTCACCTGACCCTTCATTCACCTGCTCATGTTCTTTCCATCCATCCGTCCATCCTTCCTTCTAGGCCTAGCTTCCACATGTCTGTGTCCTCACTAGACAGGCAACAACTAGATTCCAGGGAGAATCCTATCTTTGAATCCTCGGTGACTATTGTAGTGCCTGGCACGTAGTAGAAACACACGGTTGCCTGTTGATTGAATGAATGAATGAGTGAATGAATGCCAGAATCTGTCTGACTCATCTTTGCATCCTCTGCAGTGTTTAAATAGTCTAAGTACACAATAAACTTGTGTCACATAAATCTTTTCTCCAGAGTGCATACGGTGATTCAGTTTTCTAAGTTAAGCTATCTCATGACCAGGCCCTTCCGAATCTTCAGTAGACATCTACATTTTTGTGAGCTTGCCTGTGTTTCTGAATTCTTTCTTTTCTTCCAGAAAGCTTGGAGGGAAACGTGGATATCAAAGAGAAGAAGGTAGATGCCCTCATCCCTCTACCTCTCCACTGGCTCTGGGGGATCCAGCGGTGGGTTTGCAACCAGCAGCTTCTCTGAGCCTGTCCCAAAGGACGGGAAGCTGAGGGGGAGAGAGGTATCACCTGGGGGCCTTGAAGGAGGCCTTCTGTCACTGGGGCAGAGGCAGCCATGGAAGAAACAGTACTAACCCAGCCTGCGTTGTGAAGAAGAACCAGCTCCCATTTCAACAAGCTCCTCTGAGAAATTAAAATTCTTCACACGCATAACTGGAAAGTGTACCAGCCGCCCCCTAATCCCTCAATGGATGCCGCACTGCTCATTATGCTGCCAAGTGGCAAAGTAAAAGCAGCAAGATCTTCATATTACAGCACTGTCACCCAAAATAAAGAAATGCCCTTTCTCTATAACCTGTTGGCAATTAAATCACCAAAATAAACAAGCAGGAATATTTTCCCAGTAACGACAAACAACATCATAACATCAAAGACTCAGTGTTTCTGCATCTGGATAGAAATGAGGTGCATAATTACAGTCTCTTGACACACTTCTCCGCCTCTGGGCTGATATCTAGTACACTGGAGCATAAATGTCGTTGTTTAGGCCTCTGTCCAGCTCCTGGATTGAGAACAGCCCAGGGAAAGGACCTGGGCTTTCTTTTTCACATCCCTGGAGCCCAGGACAACACCTGGCACCTGGAGACCGCACTGCCCACGTCTGCTCAGTGGATGGCTGGTGATGCGAGGGAGGGGGTGAGAACGTGGACCTGCCTAGTAAACTCTAGAAGAACTGGGCTTCAATTTCCTCAACAGAACAAACAGCAAACCGGTTTCCAGTTCTAGCAATCTTTTGTCTTCTGATTCAAGGAGGTACACAAGTGGAAAATACAGGTTTTAGAAGAGTTCAGAAAAATGTGTAGATGAGCCATCGATGTATGGTAACTGCTATGTTATTTCACAAAACCTCTGCTGGGGCTGGAGGGAACATCGGACAGGCCCTAAGGGGTAACTTTCATGTTCAAGGTACACGTAGGACTAAGACGAAAGGATTCATAGGGACTCAGTGGCGTGATCCACAAAGCAAAGTTATGCTCGAGTGGCCTGTCTTGTGGGGTTTTAACCGCCTGTCCAGGTGAACCCTTTCATCTTGCAAACAGCATTCGGGTCAGTGAGTGTCCCCAGGAATGCTGTATTGGGGACACCGGCAGTAATCATCCCAAGGGGCGGGGGAGACGAAAGCTGGTCTGGGGAAGGATGCTGTCACAGAGACTTGGACAGCAGGGTTGCGTATTAGAGGTGGCTCTCAAATGGGGATGTGGAAGTTTTGCCTCCTGTGTGTGCACCTTAGACAGCTACAGAAAGAACAGGTCTCCAATCTCGAATGCAGAACTAATCCAAGAAGAAATCACAATCAACCATTAAATGAGCCAACCTAGTAGAGAGGACATAGACTGCCCTTCACTTTGCTCCCTGTTTCGTTCTTTTTGAGCAAAATCGCAGGCGAGTGGGAATGAAGAGGAGGAGTGTGTAAGGCCCAGTCCTCACGCTGTCCCCAGGTCTGGGAACAGTTCCGAGCCGGGATCATTCAGTGCTGCATCTGCAGGTCAGTCACTGAGCCACTGCCACACTTCTGGACAGTTTGGCCACCCCCTTCCTCACCCCAAAGCTACCACTTAGCTGTTCCTTCTCTTTCTTTTCAGCTCACAATGATAGTGTTTTGCAATAGTTGGCTATCTCTGCACTATGAACACTCACAAGGAGAGATTGTTTTGTGACTCATCCCTCTCTTATTTACAGGTTTCCCCTCAAAGTCCAGTGACAGAGCAGGTGGGGAGCCGAGGATATGGATCAAATACTGGCATGATCAACCCGGCTCCACACAGACTCAACTGCGAAGCATGAGATTTCGTGCAATAACCAGGCCAAGGAAGGCTACAGGTATAGGACAGAACTTCAGGTGTAAGAGACCCGTGTTGAACTGTGGCTGCATGACCAGATGGTTCCAGAACCACCCAGTCTCAGTTTGCCGTCTGGGGAAAGGGCCCCAAACCTGTGATCTTTGCCCTGTGTTGTAGGGATCAAATGAAACAGTGTGCATGGGAGTGGTTTGCACAACAGCAGAGCTGCCTATCAATGCCTGTTCAATGAGAGCTTTCTCCAGACAAACACACACTCAAAGGGATGTCAGTGTATTAATTATTTCAGGGGGTCTGTCCTCTTGACAGTAGATGAAGCCAGGAGGGAAGAAATGGGAGGTGGGAGGGAATGCAGGGCAGAAAGGAATTCACTCCCTCTTCTTCTTTGAACAGAAGCTTCTATGAAGCTTGAAGCCATGACCTGGAGGCTTTTTCAGTGTATCATAGATGTGTGGGCTGCGCTCAGGTGGTGCTTTCCAGCGAGGGACTTGGAATTATTTTGCAAAGTTTCATTCATTTGCCTCCCTAATAAATGACATTGGGACCGTTATAATGGTCCCCAAATAGAACGTGAGCCAGTGAGTGCCCATCTCTGGAAATAATGCCAGACACATTTAATTTAAAAGTATCCTGAGGGCCTAGGACAGTGCCAGGCACATGGCAGCCACTCCACACATATTTATTTGATAAGTGAATAGTGGAATGATTGAGTAAACTTTTTTCTGATGGTTGATCCAACCCTGTCAATGTGATGAAACATGCACTAGTTCATTTACCCGAATCTCAGGAGACAAGCTTTAGCCCAGCACAAGCAGAACCTAGTCCGTGCTTTAGACACAGATTCAGAGAGAATGTGTTCCAAACCAGACCACCCAGCTGGGCCAACTGTCCCAGAAACTGCATGGGTTTAAAACGTCCAGATTTGCTATGGCAGCTCACACAGAGTTCATAAATAATTTTCTCACAGTAATACATTCAAACATAAGGAAGAAGAACGTAGCACACAAATTCAGTAATCAGCCTGGTAATTGATTGAGATCAGTAGAAAGCAAAGATGTTTTAGAATTTCTGAAAGGTCAGTGAAGCCCGATATAAGTTTCTCAGAAAGTTGGGTTTTGTATGATGAAGAGGAGGACCCGCATACTTTAATTTTGCACCTATGAGCCTGTGGTTTGCATAACCTAGATTTAACCCAGTTTTAGTTTTCTGCATCTAACACCTTCCTAAGTGTTCATTTCAATTGCATAAGCATGTGTCGAATGATTACCGGGTGCCTAGCCTTACACTGGGTGCTCTGGGGGACTCTGCAAACTTTTTATTGACTTGAGAAAACAAGAAAATTCAGCACCAGCCAAAGTGGTTAACAACAGCATGTGTGAGTCAGGGTTCTGATAGACTTGTTGGTCACGAGCACAAGACGACCAGACTTTATTCAGTGAGGACACACAATTGGGGGCACTGTTACCAGACGAACCTTCTTGTCCATACAAGCAGATGCCAAGACATTTAGGGAATGGAAGGATTGCCTAGCAGTAGCTATTTAGTGTGATAATGGCGTTTGATAGTTTGGACACAAACACCATTGTCACACTCCACAGCTCTGCTAAGGAAACTCTGTAGCCATGAAGGTGTTAATGTCACCTCCAGGTTCCACCATTGTTACTGACCACCAGCAGGGAACCTGGCCAGCTCCATGTCTGTGACCTGAGCAGAGAAAAGCGGCATCACAGTGGCAGTGGCCAGCACCTTAAGTGATGGGGAGAGATAAAGACTCGCAGATGGAAGGCTTCTGTGTTCTGGAAGGGCAGCATCAGACAAGGGCCCACTGCCTGTGTCCTGCTACCTCCCCACAAAGGCCTCCTGCCAACAGGAACACAGACTTCCTATGAAAATGGATGGGAAATCTGTTCGCATCAGTTTTCTAAAAGGGCTGAGAGAGAAAAAATATCCCCAGAGGGGAATAGATCCTAGAGAACAAATACTTGGTGGAAGACCACATTGCAAACGGGGATCATCGACTGAACTAAGGGAGCCTTTGCAACTCTCAAACTCACCATGCTCCCCAATCTGTCATCACTAATGTGAGAAATTCTGCAGTCTAAGAAAATTAAAATTATTTGATATGGGGATACAGCCTTTAGATGTGTTGTGATCTACCTCGGTGGCATCTATTGGTCATGGAGGCGTCCAACCTTGCTCACATTTTAAATCTCACTCACCATAATCATTTTCCACCATAGCAGTGGGTGGGAGATGAGGGGAGGAAAGGAAGGGAGGGGGATGGAGAAAGAGGAAGCGAATAGATTTTTAGTTAATAACACTCATTTTCTGGTAAAAAGGGAGCCCCATGAATAAATCCCTTCTGGAACGTGACAGACTATCTTCTTGTCCTTCTTTTCCTACTGTTCCTCCTAACAAGGCAGCCAGGCTCTATGGCTTTATCTTTGCAGAAATCCCTACCTCCTGGTCATCAGCGACATTGCTGACCATCACAAGAGGCTCTAGAAATCTCTTGGCCCAGGTGGGACAGATCTCTGAGAGGTGAACAGTTTACTTGTTAAAGGGCCCCAGAGGACGTGCTTGGGCGCATCCGTACTGGGCAAGGGCTTGGGCTCATTTCACTTCTCAGGGCCCCACAGCAGTGTCTGAACACCCTCCACATCTCCATGAGGGCTCTGTTTGCTTTGGGCTTTGAATAATCTGCAAAAGACACAGGGAAGGAGAAAAGAGAGGAAGAAGTCAATGCATTGCGGGTAAATATTACCGAATTCCTCCCCCCAAATAAACTTCTATTTCTATGGCCTAGAAATATATCTCAAGGAAAATGTCAAAAATTTGTAGAAAGATCTACAACGTTGTTCATGGTGGCATTCTTAGTGGTAAAAATTGGAAACAACCTATATGTCCAATTATAGGGGAAGATTAATACATTTATGATACACCATAGTCATTTAAATCCATTCTGTAGAAAAATGGTTGTAGATTTGGAAAGAAATTCAAGATATGTTATTGAATGAAAAAGTAGTTTACAAAACAATGTGCACTATATGAGCCCTTTTCTGTGAAAAATGCTTATTTGCCTGGGGCAAAAACATCAAATGTTAACCGTGGTTATCTTTGAGTAGAGGAATTATGGTTTAATTTTTTCTCCTTTTGTGTCTCTGCATTTATTCATTTCTGTGATTCATGTAGTACTTTTGTAGTGAGAAAAACAATGAGAAGTTTAAATTTTTTTTTTTTT